CTGTGAGAACTTCACAGTGGGCAGCAGCACGCTGCGCAGTGAGGGGGAGGGGCTCCGCAGCTCCGTGCCGGCCGAAGCCGTCAGGTGGCTGCTTGGAAGGGGTTTTCCCCCAGAACTTCACTGTTGGCTGGCGTAAAAGCACGGGTGTGGCAGCCTGGGGAACGGGAGGCACTGCCCACTGTAGAACACTTGATTTTACTTGACTGTCCTGTAAAAGCTTGTTTACAGTTACAGTACTGGGTGGTACAAAGCAGTGGTTTTTTCCATTTCTCTGTTTTCAGAAATGGAGAAAAATTGTGGACACCTACCTTCATTTCAGTTCTATGTAAAACATACCTAGGAGTTGTAGTGAAATGTTTGGGAGGACTGGCCCTGTCAGCTGTGTTCAGCCCATGTAGGAGGCAGGCGCCAGGGTCTAGCGAACCGCCCGGCAGGCTGCAGCCTGGAGCTCCAGAGCAGAGGTTGAGGTGCTGCTGGCCGGCAGGCCTGCCCGCGCCGGGTGTGCACGCTTCGGGGTGGTTCCTTTCTTGCTGGGGAGTGTCCACTTCCTGCCCTGGTGTTGAGGTTGATTTGTTCCTGAGAGGAGGAACGTGGCGGGGGCAAGAGGCGCAGAATCACCACACAGACGCCGGGAGGCGGGTGAAAGTGGGCCAGAGGTGAGCAGCCCGCAGGCTCGTTTATTTCCGTTGCTACAGCAGCTTATATAGGCAAGGCAGCCAACCCAGTCAAGGGGTGGTCTGTGCCCCAACCAATCACAGCCTGTTGCCAGGCAGGCTCCGTTGCCAGGTGGGTTTCAAAGCCATTCGTGAGTAACTGACGCTGGCTTGCCAGTGGCCATCTTGGCATGGCCTTCTCATTCCACCACATTTCCCCCTTTTTGTTTATTTTTGAGCAACGGGAGGCATGACTCTTGGCCATACCATTGTTGACCCCGTTTCCATGTGGTCTCCATACGCAGCTGTGCCTGTCTTAGGTTGTCTCCCAGGGGATCTTACCCATTGTTGACTAACCAGCACTCAAATCCAGAGACCACAAGAGTGCTTGCTCAGATGGGGGTAGGAATGAGGAACAATGTTTATCTGGAATGGCATGAGCACACACAGGCTGTGGGCCATTTGAGTGGTTGGCCAGAGCTAGTGGGGTATAAAACAGTAACAGATGTGGCTATGGGCAGTTCCTCAGGGTAGGATGATAGGGCAGGTGCGTCCGCTAACAAGGCAGATTCTTAGTCTTGTTCAGCTGGTTCTGGTTGGCTGTCAGTTGCAGGCTTGATGTTTCTGGGTGGTACCCAAATGGGCTGTCCCGCATCCTCTGGAAAGACAAGCATATCCTCGGCCCTTGGTTACCAGAAGCCTTTCTAAGGGCATTGGAATCCAGGGCCTGAATTCTGTGTCCACTCCTACATTTACGGCAAACATGCAGGTGGGATGGGGTCTAGCGGCTGCCCTGAGAGCCTCGGGTGCCTGAGTACTGCCACAAATGTGGGAACCCTCACTGGGTGCAGATGGGATGACCTCGCATGGGTTATTGTCTCGAGGTCCTCTAAGTCATCCCACGGGTATTTGGGGGGTGGCTGACTTGGCGTTGCTACATTGTTTGTTACCTTGTTTGCTACATTGTCATTTTCACTGTCCTGGCTCTCCCTAAGTCATCAACTGTTTCCTGTAAGACAGGGACCTGGAGTGACAGGCTCTTATCACTCACAGATTCACTGTGTTTGGTAATCTGCGTGCGCTTCTGAGAGGGGGGTATCTTTCCCATGTTTGAGCACTTAAGAGCAGTGCGCCACACCAACTCTAGCCAAAGGAAAGACACGCACAGCACTGCTGCCATAACAAAGCAAATTCCTAGCACCTCAGCGGCTGACGGCATTGTGCAGGGGTTCCCTACGTTAGATGACCAGACAGTGCTGTGTGTCAGATCGTAAGTATGTCCTGTGCTTAGTGGGGGACTTCCTTGATTCGTTAGGTCAAGGCCATAGGCCCACACGGTGTCTCCGGAGCATCACCTGTCTAAAGTGAGGGAAGATGACTTGGTTCCGAATTCTGGGATGATCAGTCCCTTATGTGAATTCACCAGGTGAACCGAAAGTAAGAGGAGCTGAGAAGCGGCGTACGCTTCTGGGCAGTGTGTGCTTAACCTGGGGTCACTTAGACCGAGGACAAGGACAAGGAAAGGGGTGTAGGAGGGGTTCTGTGCTCACCCTCACAGAACCGAATAGCACACAAAACACCGAGGGGCCTTCTTGCCGAAATCAAGGGGGGACCTCGCCGAGTCCGACACGCTGTCTCTCTCAGTCATGTTGGCGCACCAGATGTTGCAGTTGATTTCTTCTGAGAGGAGGAGTGTGGTGGGGGCAAGAGGCGCGGAGTCACCACACAGACCCTGGGAGTTGGGTGAAAGGGGCCAGAGGCTGGCAGCCTGCAGACTCGTTTATTTCAGTTGCTACAGCAGCTTATATAGCCAAGGCAGCCAATCCGGTCAAGGGGCAGTTTATGCTCTAACCAATCACAGCTTGTTGCCAGGCAGGCTCCGTTTGCCATGTGGTTTCCAAAGTCATCCAATCACAGCCTGTTGCCAGGCAGGCTCCATTGCCATGTGGGTTTCAGAGCCATTCTGACACTTGCTTGCCTGCGGCCATCTTGGCATGGCCTTCTCATTCTACCACCCGGGCATGGCCCCTGAGTGGGCATGGACTGAACTGGCTCGTAGGGCAGGATGATGGTCCTCTCCAAAATCATTCTCAGTGACAATGTGTTTCTTGAGTTTGAACACATTCAATGTTAAAAAGCTCTTCATGTAACACATACTTACCTAGCAGCACACGTGTGTACGAGACATGTCTGTGGACATGGCAGACATTCCTACCTCTGGGAGGCCCAAAGCCATGCTCAGTCTACACGGGAAGCGAGAGAGGAGTGGGTGCTGTGCTGTCGCTCGGTGGTGGCGGATCTTCCTCTGGGTGGTCTACAAGGTTCTTACTGAAAAGGGAGAGCCTGCTTCTAAAGGTTGTATAAAATGAGGATTTGCGTCTTGAAAATTACATGGGATCATCGAGTTAGGTATTTGGATGTCATCATTTACAAAATAGATACTAAACCACTCTGAAGAAGATGGGCTCCTTGTGTCATTTCCCGCTTTAAGCCGGGAGGTTGGCGATGCTGAGAAGCAACTGACTGAAGGACCACGTTGACTCTGGGGGCCTCTGAGCTTTCAGTGGGGTGTTGGAGAACACATGGAGTCCAGATATTCCCAGGAGTAGAGAGGAGTGTGTAATGAGCCCTCTGTTCCTGTCCTCGGCTGCAGTGGTTATTAATACGTTGCCATTCTCATGTTGTCTAGCCCTGATTATGCTGCAGCATTTAAAGCAAATCCCAGTTACCACATTATCCCATCTGTAAGTTAGAGTTGGATGTTAGAGTGACTTTGGAAAGAAATGTGGGTGGGTGCCTGTCTCCCATGGCTGCCAGAAAACGTCACAGGCCGGGTCTGCTCACAGTGTGGAGACCTGACATCCAGAGTCAGGGGCAGGGGTGTGCTCCCAGGACCTGGGAGAGAGCCTCCTCCACGGGGTGGAACCCACCCTGTCCTCCTTGGCCCCACAGCTTGTGCGCAGCACTTGGTGATGGGGGCCCACCTGCTGTTCCTGGAGAAGTCACACGCTCGGCATTGAGGTTGGACCTTATATGTAGCAGTGTGGACACAGCCCTGCTCAACACACGGAAGTGGTGTAAGCTTTCCGGAGGGTGTTGGCAGTATTTGTTTGAGCCTTACAGATGTCATATTCCATGGTCCAGAGGTTCTCTTGGGAATTCATCCTTAGGAAATGATGGAGTGTGTAAACAGTATAAGGGTACAGTTCACAGGTAGCATTAGTGTTAATGGAACATTTGATTGAGTCATGAAAAATCAGAAACAAAGTAACAGGATAGTAACAACATGGCCACTGGTGAAATAAGATGTAGAAGCTTGTGTTTCTGGAAGATGGGTAATTTGTTAAGGGAATGATCACAATGAAAGCAGGATACGTAATCTTGTAGTCTGACAACTGTATGATCACATTTCATAGAAACAGTACACATAGAATCTTTAAATTTTCTAGTTGATTTAAAAAAAAAGATTTATTTATTTGAAAGAGAGAGATCTTCCATCCACTGGTCCACTCCCCAGTTTTCCACAACGGCCAGGGGCTGGACCAAGCCAAAGCCAGGAGCTTCTTCCAGGTCTCCCACGTGGGTGCAGGGTCCCAAGCACTTGGGCCATCTGCTGCTGCTTTCCCAGCCATTAGCAGGGAGCTGGATCAGGAGTGGAGCAGCCAGGACTCGAACTGATGCCCATTTGGGATGCCGGTGTTGCTGGTGGTGGCTTTACCAGCTACACCACAGCACTGTCCCATAGAATTTTTTTTAACATGCCCTGAAAGTGGGGGGAAATGTGGCAAAAGAATTAGAGAAAAGAGGTAGAAGAGAAATGTAACAGAGGAATTAGACCAGTTACCTGCGGGTATTGAGGCTGGAGGTGATTTTACTTTCTTTATATTTTTCTGTTTTCTCTAAATATATTCTCTGATGAACTTGCAGTTAAAGAAAAAAATCACGGAAAATGTGTACAGTATCACCTGGGGTCCTGTTGGTACTGGCAGATGTTCAGTCCGGGACGGCTGGAAGGTCGTGGACGGCTGAGGTCTGCACACGTGTGGTTTAAAGCAGTGGCTCAGCATGCAAGCCCAGTTGTGGCAGCTCAGTGGGCTTTCGGGATCTCCCGTGAGTGCCACACTGTGAAGGCACTGTGAGAGACGCCAGAGTGAATCGTCAGAAGCCAGCTCCTCACGGTGTTGTGTGGTTTCCTTGTGTGCTAGCTTACTGGGCAGGAAGTGCTGGAGAATTCATTTGAAAATTGTCCAGTTATGACACAGAGTCTTGTTTTTTTAATGTGCTTTAACATAATGAGAGCCAAATGGATCTGTAATTTTAGTTTTTCTTAATTTCTTTTTCTCGTAGGTTAAAAATTTTGCGGTTATTTATCTTGTGGACATCACAGAAGTGCCCGACTTCAACAAGATGTACGAGCTGTACGACCCGTGCACGGTCATGTTTTTCTTCAGGTATGTCTGACCTCACGCACGGGTGGTCTGAGCTTGGCCGTGATCAGCAGTCCTGCAGGAGCAAGCCAGTTATGTGGTCACGTGGCCAGGGGATCCCTGTGAGTCTTCAGTAATTGTCAAAGTACAGTTCCAGTTTCCGTGTTTACTCAGTAACAAGTTCCCCTCTTGAAGTAAAGTGGCCAGGAAGGCCAGCAGGGTGCCATTGAAATAGAGAAGTTACTCTCACTGCCGGCGTCACTCACCAGTTACCACGTCAGCACCTTTGTTTAGTGTCCTTATCAGTTGGCTTTGCTTAAAGCATGTTTTCTCCGCTCTGAGTTCTGTTGAGTTATTTGGAAACAGCTTGGCCAGCAGCAGTGAGAGCACCGGCCACACTCTGGGATGGGCGCCTCCCAAGGGGAGCAGAGCCGGGGTGTGTGCTCTGTGCCCGCAGGCCTGCTGGTGAGGCTTTGGGCAGGGTCAGCTGCAGGACTCGGTCGCACGAGGCAGAACCGCGGCTGGGCTGCTCTCCGCTGTGGCTCATCCGGCTCCTTGTGCTCGTGGGTCTGCGGTCGCTGTGCCCTGCTCGGCTGGGAAGGCGCTGGCCGGTCGAGTCACTCTCACAGTCTCAGTTGGACCTGAAGCCCTGCTCTGGGCACTGGAGTGGCTCAGGTGGTCCAGCGCAGTCTGTGTGTCACATCAGCTAAGACTGGGAGCCCGCCTGGCCTCTCCAGTGCTCACAGGCGTGGGGTCTCAGTGTGCGCCCACCAGGAGTGTGCTGCCTGCAGGCGCCTCTGCCGCAGCCTCACGTCCCTCGGGCCGGCTGAGGCTCTGCAGACACCACTGCACCTGTGCGGCCCTGAGAGACCGAGAGGGAAGGGAGTCCACTGCCCCACATCCTGGATGGGCCCAGGAAACAGAACTGGGAGGGAGGCGCCGATCCACGGCCCGGCAGACTGGTGCCTGTACCCAAGTTTCCCTGCCTCATGAGCCGTGTCTGCCTCTGGGTCCTTTGTTCCTGGTTCCTGCGGTAGCCCTCTCGGCCGTCCCCAGTGTTAGAGTCGGGATGCCCCACGAGCAGGGAGGGATTCCTGGCTCACCCCTTTCGCTTGTGACTGGGGTCTGCCACCCTTGGTCTTGCCTGGTTTCAGCGTATTTGCCATCTGCAGAGTCTGAGGGTTTATTTTCCTTTTTAAAATATTTATGTATTTGTTGGAAAGGCAGATGATAAAAGAGGAGAGATCTTTCATCCACTGGTTTATTCTCCAAGCCAGGCTGAAGCCAGGAGCCAGGAACTCCATCTGGGTCTCCCATGCAGGTGCAGAGGCCCAGGCGCTTGGCCATCCTCTGTGCAGCACAGCCCAGATCCAGAGGGGAGTGAGCTCAGTGTGCCCCCCTGCATGTGTGAGGGATGACTGACGTGGAGCAGGCAAGAGGGGGTGGGAGACAGGTGTCCAAATCCCAGCGAGCGTGGGAAGGCTGTCCTGGACGTGACCGTGTGAAGCGGAGCGGGGCATCAGATGTGCCCATGGCTCACCCTGTCGAAAGGAGGCCACACGGGAGCCGTCCCCTGAGGCCAGACCTGTGATCCTATAGGAGTCACTGAACGTCTCGCCTTGGCAAACCCGGGAAGACTCAAATAAAACAAAGGGCCTATGAGAGCACAAACTCAGGGAGGAGGTCTGGCTCCTGGGAGGTGCAGTGTGTGAAGATCTTTCACTTCCTTGATCACAGAAATGCAAAATGTCATTTTAATTTCACAGGTCTGGGTCTTTGGGTAGAGTTTATGCTAAGCGTCTCTCAGAGCACTGTGGAACCTTCCGGTGCTTCTCCAGGTGGACCAGTGTGGCCCTCGTGTGTCCTGACCTTTAGTTGCCCTGGAGGGTATTTGATAGCCCAGGAAAAACAGCACCGAGCGAGCTGTGTTGTGCAGCAGAGTCTGTGTCCTGGAAGGGTGTGAGCAAGCGGTAGGAGCAGGGGAGAGTGGGCGGGTCTCCGTGCAGGTTCTCAGATCCTGATGGGAGTCACTAGGAGCAGGGGAGTGGGCGGGTCTCCGTGCAGGTTCTCAGATCCTGATGGGAGTCACTAGGAGCAGGGGGAGTGGGCGGGTCTCCGTGCAGGTTCTCAGATCCTGATGGGAGTCACTAGGAGCAGGGGGAGTGGGCGGGTCTCCGTGCAGGTTCTGAGATCCTGATGGGAGTCGCTAGGAGCAGGGGGAGTGGGCGGGTCTCCGTGCAGGTTCTCAGATCCTGATGGGAGTCACTAGGAGCAGGGGAGTGGGCGGGTCTCCGTGCAGGTTCAGAGATCCTGATGGGAGTCGCTAGGAGCAGGGGGAGTGGGCGGGTCTCCGTGCAGGTTCTGAGATGCTGATGGGAGTCACTAGGAGCAGGGGGAGTGGGCGGGTCTCCATGCAGGTTTTCTGAGATCCTGATGGGAGTCACTAGGAGCAGGGGAGTGGGCGGGTCTCCATGCAGGTTCTGGGATCCTGATGGGAGTCACTAGGAGCAGGGGAGTGGGCGGGTCTCCGTGCAGGTTCTGGGATCCTGATGGGAGTCACTAGGAGCGGGGGAGTGGGCGGGTCTCCGTGCAGGTTCTCAGATCCTGATGGGAGTCACTAGGAGCGGGGGAGTGGGCGGGTCTCCATGCAGGTTCTGGGATCCTGATGGGAGTCACTAGGAGCAGGGGAGTGGGCGGGTCTCCGTGCAGGTTCTGGGATCCTGATGGGAGTCACTAGGAGCGGGGGAGTGGGCGGGTCTCCGTGCAGGTTCTGGGATCCTGATGGGAGTCACTAGGAGCAGGGGAGTGGGCGGGTCTCCGTGCAGGTTCTGAGATCCTGATGGGAGTCACTAGGAGCAGGGGAGTGGGCGGGTCTCCGTGCAGGTTCTGGGATGCTGATGGGAGTCACTAGGAGCAGGGGAGTGGGCGGGTCTCCGTGCAGGTTTTCTGAGATCCTGATGGGAGTCACTAGGAGCGGGGGAGTGGGCGGGTCTCCGTGCAGGTTCTGGGATCCTGATGGGATCGATGCCTTCCTCCCCAGGAACAAGCACATCATGATTGACTTGGGCACCGGCAACAACAACAAGATCAACTGGGCCATGGAGGACAAGCAGGAGATGGTAGACATCACCGAGACCGTGTACCGCGGTGCCCGCAAGGGCCGCGGCCTGGTTGTGTCTCCCAAGGACTACTCCACCAAGTACCGGTACTGAGCCTCGGCGAAGCCATGGGGCCGTCCCCGCGCGGGGATGGTGCAGAGCGCCTCAGGCCTTGGGAAACAGCCGCGCCCGAGGCCTGGAGCTCTTTGCAGCGCCCAGCCGGCCGTCCTGCTCCGCGTGCTTAGCCGTCTGCGGAAGGCGCTGTTGTGTCCAGCTGTGGAGGCAGGAAGCCCACGGGGCAGCCTGGGCTCTGTCTGAGGCCGTGGCACAGGGTCTTCTGCCTGGCTCCTGGTGCCTCCTCCTGCGCGCCTCCGTAAGGACACAGCCACGATGGACGGCGGCCCACCTGCCCCAGCTGCCCCAGCACGAGCTCCCGCCACTGACTGCGTCTGGGCTGACCTGTTGCTGGGTGGGGCTGCAGTGTGCGGTCCTGAGGCTCGTCCAGAATGCTGCTCTCCCCACAGGGGCTGGCAGCGCTGTCGTCACGGCCTCAGGCACACTGTGTCCTGTCCGCATGGTGAAGTCCCTTTCAGGGCAGGCCTTCGGCCCAGCGGGCTAAGGCAGCACCCGCAGCACTCGAGCCCTGGCTACGCTGCATCTGGTCAGCTTCCTGCTAGTGCCCTTGGGAAGGCAGTGGATGGCTCAGGTGTTGGGGCCCCTGCCACCATGTGGAGGCTCAGACGGAGTCCCTGGTTCCTGGCGTCAATCTGGCGCTGCCCCAGCTGGTGTGGGCATTTGAGGAGTGAACCAGCGGACAGGAGATCCCCATTTCTATCCCTCCCTCCCTCTCTGCCTTTCACATAAATAAATAAATAAATCTTAAAAAAAAATGGAAAAGGTGTCTTTCCTGCAGCCTGTTTCTCTTCCACGGTGTGCGTTCACGCTGTGACATGAGAGGGCGTGCGCACCCTGGTGCCCTGCGGCCTCTGTCTGGCTTCAGACCCAGGCTCTTCTAACTGGGCAGTTGCCTTGGCTGCTCTCCGTACACACGTGTTAACACAGGAAGCAGTGCCTGTTGGTAAGTAGTACCTTGTAAACGTGTTCACACCTGTGAGGCTGTGCTTGTGGGTACATATGTAGTGCTGTTGTTAGGGTGAGGTGGTTAAAACAAGGAATGCTTAATGGGAAATTTTGTACATACAAATGTGCAAGCCTGTGGTTTACTCTCATCCATTTTTCTGTACAATGAGGAGTATAGGCCCTTGCATGGTGTCACAGCCACCAGAGTGAGGGGTGCTGGGAACATGGAGGAATCGGGGCCTTGCTGCCCTGCTGGGGGTGCTGTAGGATGGTCAGACAGGGCCTCAGACCTGGTGCTGCCTCTGGACCCTAGGTGGGAGCCCAGAGAACTGAGCACCTGAGTCCACACAGCTGTGCTGAAGAGACTGTCCACCGGCGGTTTAACCGTGCTGTTGGATGTTACCAATTGCACGAACCCTGAGACCACCCCGCTGTGGGAAGATGCAGAGCCTGTGAGTTCAGGGTTGCCCAAGCTGGAAGAGATGGGTGGGTGTCTGAGGTGGGTGGTGGGTGCATGGCTGTGTGGGGACCGCTGAACTGTCCATGGGAGGTTCCCAGGGGGTGTGGGTCACATGTTAGTGTGGCTTCCATGTCTAAGTTTCTTGTAGACATGTCACTGGGTGAGCACCATGGATGGGCATTGTAAGTAACAGGGTTCTTCCCAGTTCTGGGGTCTGGAAGTGCCAGGCCGAGGTTCCAGCTAGTGAGGTGTCTGGTGAGGGTGTGGGCGCCTCTGCACAGCCCCACAGGAGCGAGGGACTCTCCGGGCCCATTGTCCTATGAGCTCAGGGCCCCAACCCACAACCACGTTGAGTCTTAGTCACCTCTGCAGAGCCCCTCCCCCCCAAAAGTAGGTTGGGCTGTGCATGGATGCTCCGCCCAGGGCTCAGACGTGAGCCACATCTTCACATGCTACCTTGCCTTTTGCTTGAAAGCAAGCAAATTGCAAGTCAATTCCACAAATCCTTCAACGCCTACCAGGTAGATGCTTAGCAGAGACAGAGACTAAAGCTTAGATTGCCCCAAGTTTAAGTAGCAGCAGAGGATGTGCACTTGAACGCTGACCTGATGGCTGCCCTCGCCTCGTCTGCTCCCCGTTGCTTCGGGGCTCTGGGAAGGAGCTGGCGGGGCTGTAAGCCTGGGTTCCAGACGGTAGGAACTCGGGTCCTGGAGACAGGCATGCACACACAAGGAGGTGGGCACGAGCGTGTGTTGCAGCATTGTTTGGAAACAAGTAGTCAAATAGAAAATAGATTAATTCAAACGACTGCTGCTCGGTGGTGAGTGAGTGAGAGCCACAGCTGTGGACAGGTGAACTAGGGGAACAGATGTGAAACCACGTGTCCACAGGGGGCTGCGTTTTTCTGATTGCACCAGTGGAGCCCTTCGCTACCATCCACACACACCTTAAGGAACCATACCCAGGGCCAAGATGCACTCTCTGGGTTTCTTAGCAAAATGTAGGTGCAAATTTGGAAAGAAAAATAGAATGAGTACATGAGGACCTGCCTCTTGAGGGCCAGTGCTGTGGCATGGTGGGCTAAGCCTCTGCCTTCAGTGCTGGCATCCCATATGGGTGGCAGTTTGTGTCTCGGCTGCTCCTCTTCCGATCCAGCTCTCTGCTGTGGCCTGGGAAAGCAGCAGAAGATGGCCCAAGTCCTTGCCCCCTGCACCCACGAGGGAGACCCAGAAGAAGCTCCTGGCTCCTGGCTTCAGATTGGTGCAGCTCCGGCCGTTGCGGCCATTTGGGGAGTGAACCAGCGGATGGAAGGCCTCCCTCTCTCTGTAACTTTACCTCTCTAATAAATAAGTAAATAAAATCTTTATTTAAAAAAAAAAAAACTTCTACATGACTTTTATTAACAGCTTTGAGAATGCATCTCCCCCTAGCATTCTTTTTTCTAAGTTTTTATGGTGTATCAGTCCCCACGAGAAGATCACGTGATCACTGTAGATCCACTGCAGAATCTACTCTGCTGTTCCCCAATCTTCAGCTCACTTTTTTTTTTCCCCCAAAGATTTATTTGAAAAAAATCACAGAAAAAGAGATCTTCCATCTGCTGGGTCACTCCCCCGATGGCCTGGCCAGGGCAAGGCTGAAGCCAGGAACTCCAGCTGGGTCTCCCACGTAGGTCACGGGCCCGCTGCTTTTCCACACATGGAGCTGGATCAGAAGTGCATCAGGACACAAACCAGCACTCACAGGGGATACTGGTGCTGGGGCTTGACCCACTATGCCACAGTGCTGGCTCCTCCAGCTCACTTTTTAAAGAAATATGAAAGGCAGACTGACAGAGATCTTCCACCTGCTGGTTCACTCTCCAAATGGCTGCAACTGCTGCGGCTCCATCCAGGTCTCCCACCTGAGTGGCAGAGGCCCAAGTACTTGGGCCATCAGCTGCTGCCTTTCCAGGTGCGTTAGCAAGGAGCTGGATTGCAAGTGGAGCAGCCGGGACTGGATCCCGGCACTGCAGGTGGCGGCTCACCTGCTGTGCCACAGCACGGCCCCTCCAGTTCACTCTGCCAGCACCTGTGGCCTTGACAGCCTCCTGGGCCTCCCTCCTGTTCTTGCTCCTTGCTGTCTCCTTGGAGTCTTCCCACATAGGCCATGCAAGTCTGTGTTGGATTCATTTGTCTTTGCATAACCCTTGGAGTCGTAAATCATGCCAAAGCCACTTGTCTTGCCACCACCGAGATAAGTTCTGAATCCAGATACAGAGGTGATATCGGTGTGGGCTTGTGCATTGGCTCCGTTTCCACAGTTTCTGTCTTGCGCACTGTTGCTGTCCCAGGGTGGAGGACATGGGTGGCTGTTTCCTCGGAAGTCATTAGCTGGCCATGAACTTCCTGTGTCACTCATGATGGCGGTCATGACCCTGGACTTCTTTTGTGGCACTTTTATGATTATCATCAAAAGTGAAGAACATGAACAGTTTCCTGATGCGGCTCCCCTTGGACAGTCAGCAGGAGAACTGTGAAGACTTCCGACTGTCTTCCACAGCCACTGTGTTGGCTCCTGTCTTCTCTCTGGCCACAGCTTCAACCTCTCCCACAAGCAACAGGCATGTGAACGAGAGCAGAGCGTTTTTGAAACCCTGAAAATCATTCACAGATTCCCAACAGCAGATAGAGTGCCATGAGACCAGAGAACTCGTCTGACCCGCCCACAACACAGGGAGCTGGTCCCAAGGAATGATTCAGACGTGGGCGGAGCTGCAGGGGGCGGGCGCTGAGGAAGGATTTTATTCTGAAAGGTCTTCTGGGCCAGGCGCAGAAGGGGGTTTGGAGGGACTGAAAGATCAGGGGGAGCTCAGAGTCTGGGAGTGTGTCCGTGTTAACTGTGGCCGCGCTTGCACACGGAGTGTGTCCGTGTTGATCCGTGGCCACGCTTGCACACGGAGTGTGTCTGTGTTTATCCGTGGCTGTGCTTGCACACGGAGTGTGTCCGTGTTTGCATGTTGAGTGGTGTGCAGTGCTCTGACACAGGAAGTCAGGTGTGTGTTTAGTTAAACTGGAGAACTGGCAACCTCTGGGAGCTGTGCTCACCTTACTACTAGGATTTGTGTTTCCGTAGTTTCATGGCCTTGTGCTAAATGAGGCTTAAATCACAGGTATATGAATTTAGCATTTGACATTGAATTAACTTTTTACTTAAGTAGATTACCAATAAACTGCTTAAACTTTGTAATAATCTACTCTAAGGCTGTATAACTTTTTTTTAGTATTTATTAATTAATTTGAAAGTTAGAGTTACACAGAGAGAGGAGAGAGAGGTCTTCTATCCGCTGGTTCACTCCCCAACTGGCTGCAATGGCCAGAGCTGAACCGATCCGAAGCCAGGAGCCGGGAGTTTTTTTCCGAGTCTCCCACCCGGGTGCAGGGACTCAAGGACTTGGGTCATCTTCCACTGCTTTCCCAGGCCACAGCAAAGAGCTGGATTGGAAGTGGAGCAGCCGGGAATTTGAACCCACACCCATATGGGATGCCAGCACTGCAGGCAGCAGCTTTACCTGCTAAGCCACAGCGCCGGCTCCCGGCTGTGTATCTTTAAATAAGGACTATTAAAGTAAGAGTGTTTAACCAGAAGAAAAGTCTTCTATTTCATGGAAGCATTCTGATGTCTTCATTTCTAAATTTTTTATTTAAAAAAATTTACATTTTGGGGACTAGCACTGTGGCATAGTGGGCCACGCCTCCACTTGCAGTGCCGGCATCCCATATGGGCACCGGTTCAAGTTCCGGCTGCTCCACGTCTGATCCAGCTCTCTGCTATTTCCTGGGAAAGTGGTGAAGATGGCCCAAGCGCTTGGGGCCCTGCACACATGTTGGAGACCCGGAAGAAGCCCCTGGCTCCTGGCTTCGGATTGGCCCAGCTCTGGCTGTTGCAGCCATTTGGGGAGTGAATCAGCAGATGGAAGATCTCTCTCTCTCTCTGTGTAACTCTGCCTTTCAAATAAATAAATGTTTAAAATAAAAACCTGGTGGCCCTGATGCTGAGAAGGCAGGCTCACTGTCCTGAGCACACAAAGACCACTCTGACCCTGAGTTGGGGAGAAGAAAGGCTGTATTTGCAGGGCCAAGCAGTAGAGGGGAGTGCTGTCCAGGCGAGCTCTGAGCCGACGGTGAGCTTGAGGCAGGCTGGCTCCAGCTCCGGGTCCTCAGTCCACAGGCTGGGGTTTCTCTCTGTGCTCCCTGGCACCAGCACGACTAAGTTCCCGAGCAATTCTCCTGAGAAATCAGAACTTTAAAAATAGGATGGTACTGTGTGGCCAGCACCCCTTGGCAAAGCACAGGGCAGGGAGGATTCGGGGAGAGGAGCAGGGGACAGTGGGAGGCCCTTGGATGGCAGCGTCCTTTCTCAGATGCGTTTGGCTAAATGAAGTTGGCGTTAGCCATGCTTGTGACCCAAAGAAAGGTGCAGATGATTATCGGGTAACTGCTTGCGTAGGCAACAGCTTCAGTGCCCAGCGAAGAGTTGACTTTAGCTCCAACAGCTTAAATTATTACAACCAAGCATAGAATATTACTAGGCAACCCCTGGTTAAAAGTATATGAAATTTTCAAGTGGAAAAAATTATGATATGAAAAGAGAACAGGATATTAGATTATAGGAAAAGCAGCCAACCACGTGACAATGTATGCATAGGAAAATGCCAACAGTGCTGTAATGGTGGTAGAATCACTGGCAATTTGAGTTTAGTGTGGAGAGCATGATCTATATTACACATAAATACTGTCCTAAAATGAGGGCTGTAACTGGACCCCCCCCCATTTTAAAAAAAGATTTATTTATTTGAAAGGCAGAGCAGAGGAGGGGGGGAGCAGGGGAGACAAAAGGAGGGAGATGGGGAGGGGGAGGGGGAGGGGAGGGAGAGAGAGAGATCTTCCATCACTAAATGGCTGCAAAGGCCAGGTTGAGCCGGCTGAAACCAGAAACCTACAACTCCTTCCAGGTCTCCCCGTGGGTGCAGGGCCCAAGCACTTGGGCCATCACCAGCTGTGTTCCCAGGAGCATTAGCAGGGAGCTGGATCAGAACTGAGCAGCTGAGACTCAAAAGGTACTCTGATAGGGTGCTAGTGTCACAAGGGGCATCCTGACTGCCGCACTACAATGTCAGACCCCCAAGCCCTGTTTTTATTTTCTTTTTAAGATTTATTTATTTATTTGAAAGTTGGAGCTATATAGAGAGAAGGAGAGGCAGAGGCACAGAGAGAGAGAGGTCTTCCATCCGCTGGTTCACTCCCCAGTTGGCCGCAACAGCTGGAGCTGCATTGATCCCAAGCCAGGAGCCAGGAGCTTCCTCCAGGTCTCCCATACCGGTGCAGGGGCCTAAGGACCTGGGCCATCTTCCACTGCTTTCCCAGGCCACAGCAGAGAGCTGGGTAGGAAGTGGAGCAGCCAGGACCAGAACCAGCGCCCACACGGGATGCTAGCACTGCAGGCAGTGGCCTTACCTGTTATGCCACAGCACCAGCCCCAAACACTGCTTTTAGATGATAATAGATTTATTTTACTTTGGCTTGGAGACAGGTGAATTGAATGTCATTTGAAAGATTTTCAATCATTAATCTACCAAACAAGGTTAAATCTGGTCCGTGTGCTTTTCTTTAGTATTCTACTGGGCAGAGCGGGCTGGGGTGACCTCCTTGGGAGGAGAAAAACATAAAACTCAAAGATCAGATCAAGGAAAGGGGCAGGCACTGTGGCGGAGCAGGTGAAGCTGCTGCCTGCAGTGTCGGCATCCCATGTGGGCACTGGTTCGAGACCCGGCTGCTCTACTTCCGGTTCAGCTCTCTGCTATAGCTTAGGAAAGCAGTGGTTGATAGCCCAAGTCCTTGGGCCCCTGCACCCACATGGGAGGCCCGGAAGAAGCTCCTGGCTTCTGGCTTTGGATCGGCTCAGCTATGGCTGTTGTGGCCAATCGGAGAGTGAACCGGTGGATGGAAGACCTCTCTCTCTGCCTCTCCTTCTCTCTCTGAATAACTCTTTCAAATAAAGAAATCTTAAAAAAAAAAAAAAAAAAAAAAAAAAAAAAAAAAGACATTCCTCCAATACTGTTTCCTTGTTTGTTAGTTTGGTGTAATTTGGTTTGGTTTAGGGGTTTGGGGTCATTTTCAGAGTGAAGAAGTGACCGCCAGTGTCTGTCTGGAGTGGGCAAATTACAGGTCCTCCAGAGAGTCCGTGGAGAGCCTCTCAGCGAGGCACTGGACACAGTGCCTGAGACGCCACTTGGGACTCTTGCTTCCCATGTGGGAGGCCTGGGTCTGAGCCTCTGCTCCCCACTCCAGCCTCCTGCTAATGCACACCCGGGAGGCACTGATAGCCCTGCCCCCACCTGGGAGACCCAGATGTAATTTTGGGCTCCTTCCTTTGGCTTAGCCCAGCCCCAGCTATTGCAGGCATTTGGGGAGTGAACCAGCAGCTGGGGGAATCTCCCTCCCTCTCTCTCTTTGTGTGTCTCTCTCTCCCTTTCAAATGAATAAAAATAAATATATATGTATATATCTCTTAAAAATGAAGGGTTCAGTTTAAAAAATACAGCATCTGCCTCTGGAAAACCCCTATGTCTTTATAAAAAAGATCTACAGGGCTGGGAGTTGTGGCACAGTGAGTTGAGCTGCAGTGTACATGTCCCGTACAGGAGCGCGCCTCTACTTGCTAGGCCACCTGGACAGCAGGTGATGGCTCACGTACTCGGGCCCCTGCTACACACATGGGAGACTAATGAGTTCCTGGCTATTGGCTTTGACGTGACCCAGCCTGGCTGTGGAGGGCATTTGGAAAGTGAGCCTGCGGATGGAAGGTCTGTCTGTGTGTTGCCCTCCCTTTAAAATAAAGGACACATACAAGCACACACGCAGCTTCCCCACTGCATCACAGTGCTGGCTCCTTAGTGGGATTTTTAATTTGAAATACCCAGCTGGTGTGAGTCCAATCTCACACCTGAAATTCCTGGAGCACCCCCATGCCCCCTGCCGTGCTGAGCTCTGGGGCTTCTTGTCCCTGTCTTTGTTAAGCTGCCCAGGGCTCAAGAGACCTGAGTTTTGAAGTGCAGAGAGGTTTGGCCCTTCTGAGACCACAGGGCGGGGAGACCCAGGTCTGTAGCACCTGGGCAGGCAGCTAAGCAAAGGTTCCAGTCTGTCAAAAATGCCAGAGCCCCCCAGCCTGCGGCTCCTGTGTATCTGGACAGAGCCTTTTCCGTGCCAGAACACCAGCCTGTTTCCAGGTCAACTAGGAGTTTGCTGGCTGACCTAGGACAACAGCTGTCAAAAAAAAAAAAAAGGCATTCAATTTGTGCCAGTAAAATATGGCCTTATTTAGACTGTTAAACTGGGCCGGCATTGTGGTGTAGTGGGTTAAGCCACCGCCTGCAACATCGTATTATAGACGCGGCTTGTGTCCCGGCTGCTCCTCTTCCAATCCAGCTCCCTGCTGATGCACCTGGGAAAGCAGTAGAAGATGCCCAGTGCTTGTGCCCCTGCACCCACATGGGAGACCTGGATGAAGCTCCTGGCTCCTGCTTGGTCCAGTCCTGCTCATTATGGCCATCTGGGGAGTAAACCAGTAAATAAAAGCTCTCCCTATAACTCTGCTTTTCAAATAAATAAATATTTTAAAAAATATTATGTCAATAATATACATACATATTTTAATAAAATAAAGCTTATATGTTACGTGGACAGGAAATCCAGTCTGAGATGTGAACCTAAGAATTTATTTTACTTCTAAGACTCTGTGTCAACTTCCATTGGAAATGGAAACAGAAGCAGAATGTTTCGAGTGCAGAGGGCCCTGCGCTATCTCAACAGAACCTAGTAACTCTGCGCCCTGTAGCTTGCCACTCATGTTCTGACTGAAGACTGTCTAAAGAGTGGGGCCTCTGCCTGCAGCGCTGGCATCCCACATGGGCACCAGTTCAAGTCCCGGCTGCTCCACTTCTGACCCAGCTCCCTGTTAATGGCTGGGAAAGCAGCTGAAGACGGCCCAAATGCTTGGGGACCTAGATGGCACCCATGTTGGGGACCTAGATGAAGCCCCTGGCTCCTGGGTTGGGTCTGGTCCAGCTCTGGTTATTGCATCCATTTGGAGATGGAATATCCCTTTCCCTCTGTCTGTAACTCTGCCTTTCAAATAAATACAATAAATCTTAAAAAAAAAAAAAAAGGTGAGGTCAGTGTTGGGGTACAGCAGGCCAGCCACCTCCTGCAACACCAGCAGCCCACGTTAGTGCTGGTTCAAGTCCCAGCTGCTCTGCTCCCAGTGGGACTGGGCCAGGCCATCTGGGGAGTGAACCAAGATGGAAGACCTCCCTCCCTCCTTCTCTAACGCTGCCTTTCAAATAATAAATAAATATTTTTTAAAATAAATCTTTAAAACAAAAAGATTAGAGGCGAAAAATACTCTCTATGAAATGCAATGTTCAAATAATAGAGGCTTCTATTTAAAATGTGCGCATTTAAGAAATTATGACCAAGATATTTTAGTTGGTCTATTTAGAAAGGAGCATTTTTAAAATGCATTAGAGACAGCAATTTCCCTAGTGAACAATCAGGGGATTATATTTTCAAGATGAAAGCAAACAGAAGATGCGAAAGGTAAAGTTTCCTCACAGTGGCCTTACCATTTGTTCTTTGACAGAGTTTTCAATCCCAGCCTGCACCATCAAGTCCGTTACGTTCTTCTGTAGGTCCTCGATGCGATGTCCCATTTCTTCCAGTAGGAGGTTAGAGAGAATTGCGACATGGAGTGCAGTGAGCAGAGACCCCGCTCCAGCTGAACTTCCCCATCAGACAGACACGCACACCAGCAGACGCCACAGCCGACACAGGAGTCCAGGGCAGGGCCCACGTCGGGGCTGTTGGCTGCTGCCCCAGTCCAGAGTGTGCTCTGACCTTTGAACCCAAGTTCCATTTTGGAAACTCGGCTCTCCTGGCTTGGGGATGGTTTTGGTATGTTTTTGCCAGATTCTGAGTGTATAAATATAACGGAAATGACCTCTTTTTTCTTTTTTCTTTTTTTTTGCCAGAGTTAGACAGTGAGGGAGAGAGACAGAGAGAAAGGTCTTCCTTCTGTTGGTTCATCCCCCTAATGGCCACCACGGCCGGCGCTACGCCAATCTGAGTACTTCCTCCCGGTCTCCCATGCGGGTGCAAGACCCAAGCACTTGGGCCATCCTCCACTGCCCTCCTGGGCCACAGCAGAGAGCTGGACTGGAAGAGGAGCAACTGGGCGCCCCGACCAGGACTAGAACCCAGGATGCTGGTGCCGCAGGCAGAGGATTAGCCAAGTGAGCACCAGCCAGAAATGACCTCTTTCTAAAACAAATTCTTCTGGGGCCTGCACTGTGGTATAGTAGGTAAAGCCACCGCCTGCAGTGCTGGCATCCCATATGGGTGCCGGTTTGAGTTCCAGCTGCTCCTCTTCCCATCCCCTGCACCTACGTGGGAGACCCAGAAAAATCTCTTGGCTCCTGGCTTGGGATGGGTGCAGATCTGGCTGTTGCAGCCAATTGGGGAGTGAACCAGCGGATGGAAGACCTCTCTCTGTCTCTGCCTCTCCTTCTCTCTCTGTGTAACTCCTACTTCCAAATAAATACATAAATCTATTTAAAAAAAAACTTTTCTAAGATCTAATCTTACCGTGTTTGAGAATAATTTTATCCTGGGGAAGCCATGTACAACATAATAATTGCAGGTAAATGGCTCCCTCTGCAAGTGCTTTATGCACAGTTTTTAAGGAAGGCAGCCGATGTGTAAAGTAGGCTCGGACTGGACAAGTGCTGGGCAGATATTGAGGAACAAGGACGTCAGCCTCAGCCGTTCTTGCTCACTGCCCGACACAGATAAACACTGGAATGCACTCCTCGCCCTCGGATCTTAGTTGGGTCTCACACCTATTGCCTTCATACCCCACCCACCACGGCCACCTGAAAGACCAGTTGCTGGAACACGTGAAAGGCCAGTTCCAGGAATTCCCCTCCGCCTGCTGCCCCCCACCCCCACCCCATCCCTAGCCCTCCCAAAATATAAAAAGTCCCAGCCCCTGGGGGTCAGGGCCTGTGGGGAGCAACTCGGACTAGACTAAGTTACTGGAATTAAGACTTATTCTATGCATCTGCTCTCCCACAATATGGCGCTGGGAGAGGAGGAAACAGCTTCTACACAGCTGCCTCCAGTTCAACCAATAAACAGCAGGACCTGCTCCTGATTGGAGGAGAGCAGCGTACTCGGCGTGTGGGTAGCAGAGTTGGGATTGGTGGAAGAGGACTATAAAGGAGGAGAGAGACAACATGCACCAGGAACATCTATCTGAAGGAACACCTGAGCAGCCCCCGAGAGAGCCGGCCGGCGGTGTGCCGCTCCCCCGCGGAAGTGGGGAATGTGGCCAGGGGGAACCGCCCTTCCACGGAGGTGGAAGGGTCGGTAGCCAACCCGGGAAGAACCAGCAGCAAACCCGGGGAGGGCCGAGCAGACCAAAGAACAACGCAGGGTCCTGTGTCGTTCCTCCACGAAGACGGGGAGCGACAAGGGCCACCTGTCCTGTCATTGTGTACGTGCACAGTTGGTCACCCACCACAAATTTATTTTCTCTGAATAAATTCGGTCTGGCTGTAAATTTGTACACTGCCTCCTCTCTATTCTGTGCCTCTTTTCCTAACATTTTGGTGCCCCGTGTGAGGAGGCACCAGTCCGCAACTCTTTTTCTAACAGATATTGCCCTTCTCTGAGTGCCCAAACTAGAGGCCAACATTCTATTCTAACTCTGATTCCCTGCTCCTAAGACTAAACAGGGAGCAGCTAAAGTTACAGCACAGCATGAGGGCCCCCCGCAGGGGCTCTGAGGCTCCACACCGGCCAGCCACAGCGCAGGGGAAGCCCACCGGGAACGTGCCCGGCCACAGCGCAGGGGAAGCCCACCGGGGAACGCGCCCGGCCACAGCGCAGGGGAAGCCCACCGGGGAACGTGCCCGGCCACAGCGCAGGGGAAGCCCACCGGGCAATGTGCCCGGCCACAGCGCAGGGGAAGCCCACCGGGGAACGTGCCTGTGCTGCCGGCCAGGCAGGAGGTATACAGAAGCTTCTGCAGCGCTGGAGGCTGCTCAGAGCACAGAGACACTGCCACTAACACAGGCAGCAAGACCGTCCACCCTGTCGCGGCTCGCAGCCTCCCAGAGCTGGCTGATGGCAGCAAAGGATATCCCTGAGGGTCAGTGTTGCAGTCAGAGCTTGAAAATGCTCTTGAAGTTGCTGAAACAGATTTTCTGCCTGGAAAAAAAAATGAGCCACAAGACAACCAAACGTAATATTGATCCTTGGTGCAGCGCATCTGAGATGTCACGGGCTAGCCCTGTCTATTTCCTGTGTTGATCTTTGACATCCCGAGTCACCGGGAACAGAAAACCTTTCCAACAGACACTGCTAGAACAGTAAAATGGCTAACTGCAGATGATGGCCTTGGCTCATCTCCAGATGAGCGAGACACCCCCTCCCCCAGCAGTCCAGCGTTCTGGGGCTGGTGGGCAGGCTTGGAGGGGAGACCTCCTACCACACCGCCCAAGACTGCCTCCTAGGCTGGCCTTGGGTCATCTGGGGCAGCACCTGCCCGCCTGGAATCGGATGGTTTCACTTTCACAGGAAAACAAATCTCCAAGGAAGACTTTTACAGCGTTTAGCCCCCATGCGGCTTGTTTCCTGGGACTGGAACCTACTTGGGGGGGTGGGGGTGGGGAGGTGGGGAGGAAGGGGGGAAGACAGACACACTCACCGCATCCTGCAGGGTGTCTAAGCCGGAGGTTTCCGGTCCCCGTGTGTCCATGGGGGCCTGGGGTCGGTCACTGGTCTTGGCGGCACCTGCCCAGGTGCGCTCCCAGAAGCGATCTTCCTTGTTGTGGCCAGGTTGGGCGGGGCCGGGCCAGCCTGCTGGTGCAGCTGCGCGGTGCAACGTCCTGACCCCGAGTCCTCCCCTGGCCACACGGAGAGCCCGGGCGCACCACCGCCCCTGCGGCACCCTCCCCCTCCCGCCTCTGGTCTTCCTGTCTGTAAGGAGGGCACCTGTGACGGCCCAGGCAGTTTGGCTGCAGCCCAGCCACCCACACACTGTCCAGACTCGCTCTGCGGCCCCGGGAGCCAAGGACGCCGTCACCTCGCGCACCTCTGCAGTCTCGGCTGCGGCCGGCGCTGACGTGAGAACGAACACTAGCGGCAGGTGTCCGGTTCTGCGGGCCTGAAGGCACCGCTGCCGCTTCCAGACCCGAGCATGGCTGCTGGGTCACCTCGTTTCGTTGACCTCTGGGCCACGCCGCTATCCCCAGAGCCCAGTCGGGCGACAGCACATGCAGACGCCCCCACGTCGTCCGTCACCCGGCAAATGCGGACCCAACCACCTGCAGATCCGCTCTGCAACCATCCCGCGGGGAGCCCCAGACCACAGCCGCTTCGGTGTCAGTGACCCGAAAGGCGGACACAGCGCCGGCGCGCACGGGGCGAACGCAGGCTGGAGGTCTCGCAGCCCCTCGGCCCCGCAGCCCCGCAGCCCCGCTGCCACCGCGCCGCTCACGTATTTCCCGCCCGTTCTCCGGCCCAGGACGCACGCGGCTGCGCACTGAGCGGCACCTGGAGGTGCGTGAAGCCGTCGGGGGCAGCTGGTACAGCGCGGCCGTCTGCCCTTTGTGTCCCTTGGGTGTCTCCTGGAGCGTGGGCTGGCCCGGGCGGCCCAAGGCGGGGTGGTCAGGCCTGAGGAAGCCTCTGGGGCCGACCACGGGAGCAGGGAGCGGGGAGCGGGGAGGCACTGGGCAAGCCGTGCTGCGGCTGCGTCACCCCCGGGGGCTTCTGTCAGAACCACTGGTGTCAGGGGCCAGACTCACAAACAGAAAAACGCGGGACATTACTCAGGAGCCCGAGGCAGGGGACCTGGCTTCAGTCCCTGCCTGGAGAAGGCAGCCTGTCGGTCACCAGCCCGCAGCCACACAGCAGCCAGGCCTTTGGGAACGTTCTGGAACCTCCACCCTTCTCTGAGAGCACCCAGCCCCAGGCCTCAGTCCAGGGGAAGCTCATGGCAGGACCCCGGTCCGCTGCTGACTGCCCCATCAGTGGTTTCCGGAGGCCGTGGGGCTCCAGGCTGCCCCTCGCTGGCATCTCATCCCTCCAGTTCTGGACACCCCTCAGTTCCACAGATACAGAGCGTGGTGACAGGCTCGGAGGGACGCAGGAGAGCACGGAGCACCCTCCCTCCCACCAGAGGCCCCGGAAGCAGGCTGAGGCTAGCATCTGCACACTCGCCCCCAAGGCGCACGACACCCAGGGAAACCTGGTGGGGTCTAGGAAAGGAGTGGGGGTCCAGGACCCTGCATTGGGTCAGGTAAGAGGCTGGGGGGGCCATATGGTGGGGCTCACAGGAGTCACCTCCAGTAAGAACCAGCAGGAGGGGAGGCTGCAGCCCACGAGGGTTCGAGGAGGATTCTGGAAGGGGAGCGCCTGTGGGGGGGCCCAGCCCCTCCCCAGCAGGGGAGCGCCTGTGGGGGGGCCCAGCCCCCAGTTCTGCGGAGGGCAGCAGCCCCTCCCCAGCAGGGGCAGTTAGGGTTCTGTGTGCATCCAGCTGGTTCCCACAGCCTGCAGAAGGGCCCATCCAGAGAGGGAAGCAGCTCAGGGTCTGCGAGGCCAGGGGTCTGTGGGGCGTGGAGAGACTGCTCCGTGAGGACTGGTTCCATGCTGGGATGAGAATGTTCCGGAACTAGATGGGAAGGGTGCGCACACAACACTCTGACTGCTGTTTCTCCAGAAAGTCCGTGAGAATGGAATTAAAAGCTGTTTATTTTGGTGCAAGAAATTTGAAATCCGTTGGAAAACACGTAGTATGAGAAACTGTGGATTTCAAGTTTTCTTGCATGAAATAAACTTAACTTACAGTTCTTCTCAATGTTTTTATTTTTTTAGAGACTTTTTTATTTGAAAGGCAGAGTTACAGAGAGTGACCATCCCTGGGTTACCCCTCAGATGGTCACAACAGCCAGGGCTGGGCCAGGCCGGAGCCAGGGGCTTCTTCCGGTCTCCCATGCGGGTGCAGGGACCCAGGCACTTGCGCCACCTTCCGCTGCTTTCTCAGGCCATAGCAGGGAGCTGGACCTACGCCACAGCGCCGGCCCCTCAATGAACTGCGCTGAGCTCACTCTGAAGTGGCTACTTTTGCCGCGTGCGAATGTCATCCTCACCGCGAAAACAGCCGGGGACACTCCCCAGGCCAGGGTGCACCGCGCCCGCCACGCCTCTCACCGGGGAGGGAGCGCTCCCTGGGAGGCGGGCAGGGTCCGAGGATTTCCCACAAAACCAGGCAGACCCGGGAGAAGGGGACGCGACTCCAGGAAGAGGCTGGCCCTGGCCGGCCAGTGTGGCCCTCCTGCCCTCAGCCCACCCGTGCCAAGGGCTGGGAGCCAAACCCGCGGGTCTGCGGCCCCTGGGCCAGGAGACAAACCCAGACACTCCCAGGTTCTCTCCAGTGGGCACTGGAGGCGCGGCTTAGCCAATAGAACCACCCATCTGGACAGTCCGCGCCGCTCTCCGTGCTCGCCTCCGGGCACAAGGCGGGGTCTCCCTGCGGACGCCGGGGACGCTCCGGGGACGCCCTCTTCCGCCAGGTCCCAGGGTCCCCCGGCCCCGTGAGGTGCGACAGCGGCGGACGCGCCCACGTGGAACACGCGTGCCCGCGCGCTCTAGGACCCAGCGGAGCACCCGCCGGTCCGGCGTGGGCGGGGCTCCGGCAATTGTGACGTCACTCGGGGCGGGGCCCGGGCGCGGACGGACATGCGGAGGCGCAGGACGATGGGCGCGCGGTAAGGGCCGCGGGGGCCAAGCAGAGCCGGGGTCCGGGGATCAGGGCCCGAGCGGGGCTTGCAGGCGCGGACCCCGGCGCCTCGCGTTCCCGGCCCGGGCCACGCCCCGCTGTACCGAAATCCCCGGGCCCGTGTCCGCGCCAGGCCGTGCGCCCCGCCCCCCGGCCCGCGTACCCTGCCCCCACCCCGGCCTTGTCCGCGCCGTGCGCTCCGCCCCCGGCCCTCGTAACCTCCCCCTGGCCGTGTCCGCGCCGTGCGCCCCGCCCCCGGCCCGCGCACCACCCTCCCGGCCGTGTCCGCGCCGTGCGCCCCGCCCCTGGCCCGCGTACCCCCCCCCACCCCCCGGCCGTGTCCGCGCCGTGCGCCCCGCCCCTGGCCCGCGTAGCCTCCCCTGGCCGTGTCCGCGCCCGCGCCGTGCGCCCCGCGCCCGCCAGGCCCGATTCGGAGCGCGCAGGTGGCGGCGCCATGTGGAGGTGACGTCGCGCGCGGCTTGGCAGGGGATGGAAGGGGAGAGCCTGGCCTGGCTGCTGGTCCCGCTGCACAGCCTGGTGTCGTGGGGCGCGGCCGGGGCCATGGTCTTCGGCGGGGTGGTGCCCTACATCCCGCAGTACCGGCACATCCGCAGGACGCAGAGCGCCGACGGCTTCTCCACCTACGTGTGCCTGGTGCTGCTGGTGGCCAACATTCTCCGGATCCTGTTCTGGTGAGCGGGGCGCGGTCGCGTCGGGCTCGGGGCGGCCGGGGGCGAGACCTGGCCTGGCACAGAGGGGCTGGGCAGAGCCTCCCCAGGGCGACCGCGGGGGCCTGCCCGTGTGCGCTTCTCCGCGGGCGCGCCGGTCCCCTCGCTTGGTTTCCGGTGGTGGGGCGAGGACACCGCGCCTGAGTCAGCGGAGGGGTCGCCTGGTGACGCCCGGCCGCCCCGCGCGCCTGCCTGGGCGCCCCGGCGCCCGCTCGCCCGCGGAGGAGGTCGGACGCTGGGGGGACGCTCGCCTACGCTCAGTTCCTCTCTGCCCAGCTTCCTCCTGTCGTCGTGTGCGTTCAGCCGAGGACACGGAAATTAATTCTAGCGTTAACGAGCGCACGGCCAGGAGGGTGAGCTTTCCAAGCAGATGGGAGAGCTCTCCTGGTTGCAGCCTAGGGTCGGAGAACCCCGGGTTTCTTCCTGGGGGCGGTCCTCAGGCTCTGCCCTGGACGTCTTGGTCACTGGTAACCCGGGACTGTTCTCAGCCAGCCTTACCGAGGCCTTGGGGAGACAAAGCACGCCCCTTTTGGCGTGAATTTGGGAACCCCGAGTTCCCATGCGTTGCTTTGCCCCGCTTGCTCCCCCAGCAGACTGCGGGGGGCCGGGGTGGGGTGGGGGTTTCTGTTTGACAAAAACTTTAAAGTTGAAAAGCCGCGTTTGCATTTCCCCTTCCCCCGCCCTTCCCTTTGGCAGGTGGAGTTCCTACTGCGTGGCAGTGGCCAGGTGCGAGGGGCCTTGAGTAACCCAAGGGGGGAGGGCAGCGAGCCCTAAGCAAGGCCTGTTTCCCTGGGGCGGGGCGGGGCGGGTCCCTAACCGTGGTCCTGTCTGAGTGGGGACCACCTGGCCTGGCCCAGGCTCCCGGTTCAGACTGACATGTTGTGCTCTGGCTTTGGGGCTGTGGAATGAATGTCCCCAGAGCTGCCCAAGGCTGCCTTACCAACAGGAAGAAAGTTCACTTGCTTCGACTTTCAAAATTTTTGAAAGAAAATGAAATACTGAACGTACTTCCAGTGTCTGCCTTTGGGGTGGGGGTCAGAAATCAGACAGCTTCTGGGTTCCTCCCGTTGCTGCCTCTGGGCAGCCCTGGGCACTGGATGCAGGAGCTGGGCTGGGCCTGTGGCCTTGTGGGCTCTGAGCACTGCCTACAGGTGGTATCTTCCAGAGAACCAACACCCTGAGCCACCCTGGGCCACTCGGAACACACAGGGCCCTGACTGCACAGGACTGTGGCGTAAAGCAGCGTGGGCGGAGGGCAGAGACGCTGGGCCTTCCTAAGGGGTCTCTCCAGCCTCCAAACACAATACCACATGCACACATGTTACATGCGTGGGCACATGCCACAGCCATGCACACACAGTGTATGCGCACAACCCACATGAGCTCACACTGCATACATGTGCATGTACACGTACACCCATACTGCATGCACACATGTAAGTACCCACGTACATGTTGCATGGGCACACAGCACAGCCACACACAGTGTGTAACCACAACCCATGTGCTTGCACACTACATCCATGTGTACACACGTACCACATGCACATACCCACATGTGCACACAGGGTGGGTGGGCTGGGGTTGGGGAGGGAGAGCCCCTCCCAGTGAGCTGGGAGCTGGGTGGTTTCCCATCCCAGTGCTGGCTGGGACGCATGCTCATGATGTGGGCTAAGTAGGAAGTTAGTTTAGGATTGCTGGACTGGAAGTCACAAGCCCCACGTGTAATTTTACTTGTCAGTGCACCTGCTTCACCTGGGGCCTGAGCGGGCCGCCATGAAAGCAGGGAAGTTGAGCTCCGCTTGGAGCTTGTGGAGGTGGCGGCACAGCTGGAAAGGCCCCACCCACACAGAGGCCACACCTGGGAGTGCCTCCCTCTCTCTCCCTCCCCCTCCCCCCAAGACCACAGCTGTACAGCTGGAGGGGCTGCTAGGTGTTCTGTCTCCCCTCCCCACTCCTGCCCTGTGTGGGGCAACCCATGCTTGTGTGTGTGTGTGTGTGTGTGTGTGTGTTTCACCTTTTTTTTTTTTTTTTTTTTGACAGGCAGTGTGGACAGTGAGAGTGAGAGACAGAGAGAAAGGTCTTCCTTTTGCCGTTGGTTCACCCTCCAGTGGCCACCGCGGCCAGCACACTGCGGCCGGTGCACCGCGCTGATCCGAAGGCAGGAGCCAGGTGCTTCTCCTGGTCTCCCATGGGGTGCAGGGCCCAAGCACTTGGGCCATCCTCCACTGCACTCCCGGGCCACAGCAGAGGGCTGGCCTGGAAGAGGGGCAACCGGGACAGAATCCGGTGCCCCGACCGGGACTAGAACCCGGTGTGCCGGCGCTGCAAGGCGGAGGATTAGCCTAGTGAGCCGCGGTACCGGCCACATTTTCACCTTCTAAATTAACTTTATCGTTGTTTGCACTTTTTTTGTGTCAGCACTTAGAATATGTATCTTTGTGCAAGAGCATGAAGTAAAAATAATTAAAACCTGCTCACCCAGGTCAGTCGGAGCTGCAGACCCTTGGGGAAGCATCTTGCCCCTGGGGTGCGGCCCTGCAGGGCTCCCGCCTTGCAGGAAGGGACTGAGTGGATGGTGGACCCCGGGGTTCTGAACCCTGTGTGATCGCACTCTGGGAGGTGCGTTTGGACAAGGCTGGCGACTGTGGTGTCAGAGGCTGGGAGAGGGCCTGTGATCCTTGTAGTTGATGTTTGCAGGCTGTGCCGATGTGGGGGAGAAGGGGAGAGAGCTGGGCTGCACGTGGGTGGTGAGGCACCCTCACCTGCGGGGCTCTCCAGTCCTGGCTGCTGCG